GAGAGAGAGAGAGAGAGAGAGAGAGAGAGAGAGAGAGAGAGAGAGGGGGGGGTGATAAAACAGCTATTTCCACTTTAAAAATGAACTCAGTGTATCTCTCACAAATGTTTGAACGCAATCACAAGCTTTCTTTATTCATAAAATACACAAAAAGGAACAAATCATGGAAATGAACAAACAAACAAACGCCTCCTCTTTAAGAGAATGTTGTAGTGGGGTCAGTGATCAAGACAAATCAGCCTAACGTCGAATTTTTTTTTTCAAATGTATTAAGCCCCGAAAGCACAAATTTTCAGGGGAGAGGGGGAAAAACGTATTTTTCTTCTTTAAAAAAAAACAAAAAACAATTGTATCTACATTAAGTAGATTTATTTGTCTTTCCTTTCTTTTTTTACATTTAGAATTTGAGTTTCGACAAAATTTCTTGATTGCATGCAATCGATACCACAGATTAAGCATTTGCAATAAAGCAAAATTCCAAACTATGGGTTCTGTACGTCTGAGCAGCTGGCTGGTGATAATAATACGACGCGGTGGAATCAGGCTCTCGTCAATTTTTGGGCCTGTGGAGTTGTTGGTGTCATCTTAAAGCGTGTTGATTGGTTTATCTTTCAATGAAAGAGATGCCCATCTACATTGAATAGAAGCCGAAATATTTGCCATTGAAAGAATCTGAGTCGCCTGATTTCAGAGGTAAATTAAGCGAGAAAATGGCCGCCAAAGTTTGGTGACTTCTATAGGTTGAGAATACTTATTAACTGAAAATGTGCACTTTTTGTGCCTTTAATCATCGTTTTTCAGTAAAATCCACGCAGAAATGTGTTTTTAAAAGGATATAAAAGGCGTTAAGCCAAGAAAAGAAAATTAGAAAAAAATTTGCTCAAACGGTCAGAAAGATGCCAATTTATTTGAACTCATTATTTTGACGAGCGCCTGATTTCACCATGATGCCTCACATATTGTGCTTTACAAGACATGGCCTCGACACCTTAGAATCAATTCGAAAGCCTGAAAAGTGAGCAATTAGAAACTAAATTACTAAAGTGCCAATATTAATTAAAACGAACTAGCAGTTTCAGCACAGAGAAAGAAACTTAGCTTGCTACATATTTTATAACCTTCAACAATGCCCAAAAATATTAACTCTTACAACCGTAGGCCTTTCGCTGCTTCATCGAAGTAAATTAATTAAAAATAGTATGAAATCATTATCATTTTTAGCATTGAAAAAGATAGGATTCAATCTACAAGCATGTATTACCCACCAAAGTTTAAAAACAAGAATGGAGATATTTATCGTATGTGCAGACACAGTTGTAATACTGGCGAGTAGATATGTAGTCCGTTTAATGGTAAAAAACAAGCGAAAATTAACATTAAAATATGATGCATCATCTAAGCAGTAGACTTTTAAGAGTTAATTGACATGCAAAAATACAAATTGTGCCAACATTATAAGCACCACAAGTAAAATGTCATGATCAATCTCTTCTTTTTATCTTCGCAGATGTTGCCTAGTCCTATCTCAGTCAGTGCATCCGGTGAGGCCACTTCAGACAAGCAGTTATCCATTGGCCCCTTCCAAATCTTGATCAAATCTGAAGCATCTCTCCGGATCTTCTGTGGAGAAAACAATAGGGGCGTAGTTAGTTCAGTTTTACGTTCCGATCAACACAAAGAGGGTTGTTCAGGAGGCGGGGTGTCTCGAGTAATGTCCGTCGTCCCACAGGACATGAGAGCAAGAAGTCTCAGAAGCTATTCAGACGATTAAGGTTTAGAATCGCCCCCGCTGGGTTTTGACTCGGTGCCTCCTGTGTTGTAGTCAAGTGCCTGACAATTAAGACGACACAGATAATAGAGTGGTCCCAGCTCGCTTCCCTGTGTGGGAGATAATGAAAGTAGCAACTGGAAGGACGCTGAAACTTTAATGCTACTTGTGTTCTTATTGTTTTTATTGCTGCCATTGTTAATGTTGTTGTGGTTGTTGTTGCTGCAGCTGCTGTTATGTTGTTGTTGTTGTTGTTGTTGTTGTTGTTGTTGTTGTTGTTGTTGTTGTTGTTATATTGTTGTTCTTGCTGTTGCTGCCATGTTGGTGCTGCTGTTGTTGTTATCATTGCTGGTGTTTGTATTGCTCATGTTGTGTCAACATAATTAAAGTCACATTTCGACAGAAAGAGGATTACAAGATCACTATTATTACTATCTGAAGAAGAAGGAGCAAACCAAACCAGAGTGCATATTGACTCCTCGCCTTGACCCTCTCTACAGCCCAACACACATGATTGCTTAAAATATAATAGTATGTTATTATCAATTTCAAATACTCAAGTCATACACATTTTTCTGGACTAAAACTCAAGCTTTATAATAACAACAAAGGCTGTCTTTTTAGCACACGCTCGTAGATAAGCACGTACACATATAAACACACAGACACATGCACATACAAACACACACACACACACACACACACACACACACAT